AACCCATACATCTTGAAGGACGGCGTTGCTCACCAAGTTCGTCGAGAACGAGGGGAGGTGGAGACCTGGAAGTGAGCCATAAGGGACTGCCGGACACAGGAGGACCGTGGAGGCTCGTGCGACAACTGGGCCGCCAGAGGGGTCAGCCAGTGAGACTGGGACCGGTGCAGCGAGCGGTGTGACTATGATGCAGTCTCGATAAAAACAACGAGACGCACCCGAGTCAAGTGTGAAGGTGTGCAAGGCCTCAGCTGAGGCAGTAGACTCACTAGCACCTGTGACAGCAGACGCACTAGCACCTAGAGTGGCAGCAGACTCACTAGCACCTGGGGAAGGGGCAGCGATACCATCAGCGCAAGGCACACACGAGTAACCGGTACCCTCATCACTAATAACATCAACATACATAGCATAGAGTGCCTGGTTGAACTTAACAAAATCAAGAACAAACACATCTACTCCCTTCGCCATCAGCTGCGCCCAGTTGGGGACAGCCTGCTCATCACCATACTCTGCCACCCAGGCATCCTCAAGACGGCTGAAGCAGCGATACTCCGTGTGCCCAGTCTTTCCGCAGGTCTCACCCTTCCGGAGGCCCGTGCGCCTGACATAGGAGCATCGAACAGTGCCCCCAGGGGAACCACGCTGGACAACCCACTCACGAAGCTGCTGAGGGGTGGGGTTGTCCGGGAGGCGTGGCAGCTGCGGACCACTCCTATAGCCTCCGCCGCCACAAGCCGAACCCCCATAGCCTCCACCCCTGCCAGCTCCACCCCGACCACCTCCACCACCCCCGCCGCAGCGCGCAGCAGAGCGGACGGGCAGGGCGCAGGCCGGGTGCGCGTGGTCAGGGCGCAGGCCGGGCGCAGGCTGCTGGCGGGCAGCGCGAGCGGGCAGGGGCGCAGTGGCGCTCGCGGGCAGGGGCGCAGTGGCGCTTGCGGGCAGGCAGAGCGCTCGCGGGCAGGCAGAGTGCGCGGGTAGGGGCGCAGGCTCGCGGGCGGGCAATGCGCTAGGCAGCAAGCGGGCATATCACGCTTGTAGCAGGCAGCGCGCGTGCAGCAGTAAGCGCTCAGATCGTGCGCTAGGCAGCAAGCGGGCAGCGCGACTGGCAGGGCAGGGCAGAACGGGCAGGTAGGCGAAATTTCAACGGTGGGCCCTTTTAAAAACGGTCATAAGGTCTAGGAACGGCCTAGTCTCTGAAACCATGTTAGAAGCTAGTGAGAAGGATGGTCGATTAGGTAAGGGGGGGGATACAAGAGTGTCGAGAAATATTGTGTACCCTCTAAGGATAGCCCCTAAATAGCCTAGAAAGATAGAAAGCATATAAATGTTTTCACAAGTACTAAAAACAAACAGAGTGGCGTAGTCAAGGCGGTGGGTGGAGGCAAAGTCTGCGACAACATCGACAGGAGCAGAGACAAACTGTGAAGGAGCAGTAGGGTTAGTGACTAAGGAGGAAAGGGAGGCGAAACCACAAGGCTAGGCGGCAAGGGAGGCCTCAGAGACGAAGCACCAGCACTACGAAGGGCGCCCTTGCTATGTTGGCTGTTTCGGTCTAGCAGTTTAGACATATGGGGTCAGGGCGCCAGACGCACTGCAGTTCCTCCGCATGCTGCCATCCCACTCGGCCAAAACCCGTTTTTTCCAAGGGCCCCTTACTATATTGGCGGCCACACTAATAGCCCACTACAAGCAACGCTGGTCCGTGAGCAAGTCGAACGGCTGCAGAGGCAGCATTCCCGCACACAACAATTACCTCTAGGAGGTGCTGGGGGATGACATGCAGGGACAACAATCCGAGGATGTTAGAATACGTGAACAGGAAATGAATGTATTGAGCAGGATGCAAGATACAAGTACCAACACTAAATGGGTTGTACCTTATATGGGCTACCCCACTACAGCCTATAGACATACAAATGTATTTTGACACACCCCCATAGGCACAGTGGGGGATAGCAAGAACAACCAACGGTCACAAGATCAGTCAAGCAAGAGAACAAAGCAAAGCAAAGCTCAGGGTGGATCTCAAGATCACCACGCATTCTGAGCACAAGCAAGCGGCCACAAGGCCAGTTCACATGCATAGTTTATAATAGCAAGAGCAGTACAATGATCACAACCTAGCAAGTGTAAGCATGCAGGTATACTCATATATATCAGTGTACAACAAGAGCAAGATCAAGAGACAAGCAAGTGAGGCAGAGTGGGCACAAGCCCAAGAGCAGTGCAGAAACGCTGATGATCACTAGACCCAAGGGCCTTAGTGAAGACATCAGCAGTGTTGGCCTGTGTGGCCACGTAAGCAAGACGAAGCTGACCACGCTGCTGCAGCTCTCGCGTGAGGAAGTAACAAAGAGCAATGTGCTTCGTTTTGTGCTCCAGTCTCTGGTCCTGACACATGGCCTTGTTGTCGACGTACAGAACTGGAGGAGAACGAGGCCACTCACCCAAGCTGGTCAGCAGGTAGGTCAGCCAGCGGAGCTCCTGTGCAGCCATAGCCCCAGCGTAGATCTCGGCCTCACAGCTGGAACTAAGTACAGAAGAAGAGCGAGTGGACCTCCACGAGACAGAACCAGTGCCGAGGCTGAAACTGTACCCCTGTGTCGACCGGTGAGTCGTCTGGTCGTCAGCCCAAGAAGCGTCTGAGTGACCGGTGAGAACAACAGAACCCGGTCCTCCAAGCACGAGCCCCATGCCCGATGTACTGCACAAGTAACGCAATACCCTCTTCGCAACATCCCAGTGCTTCTCTCGATGTCTACCGGGAACCACGTAGCGAGCCAGGAGGATGAGAGGGTACGCGAGGTCAGGTCGTGTGCACGTCATCAGGTACATGAGGCAACCCACAAGCTCTGGGTACGGACCACTCGGCTCTACGGACTCGTCCGAAGGTGGACCTGAGAGCGAGTGGCCGGTAGACAGAGGAGTGGGCTGTGGCGAGGACCACGAGAAGTCGAAGCGCTGAAGGACCTGTTGCACCATGTGTGACTGAGTGAGGGTGATGGTGCGGCGTGCTCTGTCCCGGGTGATCTGCAAGCCAAGATAGCTCCGCAGCTCACCCAGGTCAGTGCAGGTGTGTCTCTCCTGCAGCTCCGCCTTCACTATTGCCAGAGCCTCAGTGTCAGCAGTAGCAAAAACCAAGTCGTCAACGTACACGAAAACGTAGAACGGCGGCAGAGAAGTGTCTGTGCACAGAAACAGCGAAGGGTCAGCAGTCGAGGGAGCGAAGCCAAGAGCCGCAAGTGTAGTCCTCAGTGTGTCGTGCCACTCGCGGGGCGCCTCTCGTAGGCTGTAGACTGGTCGTCGAAGACTCCACTGGGTACCCTTAGGAAACGACCCAGTGAAGCCACGTGGACGGCGCAACCAGATAGACCCGTGAAGGCAGCCCTGCAGGAAGGCTGTCGAGAAGTCGAGGGAGTGCAGCTCATAGTCGCGCTGTGCTGCAACGTGCAGTAGCACCCGAAGAGTGGTCATCTTCGGGGTGGGGGAGAAGGTTTGGAAGAAGTCAACCCCCTCACGCTGACTGAAGCCTCGTGCAACGTAACGCGCCTTGAAGGCAGGCGGAGAACCCGGCGGCCGCTTCACACTGAAAATCCACATGCCATCGACTATGTTCGCCCCGGGTGGGGGAACCTCGTCGACATAGGTGCCTGTGGACTTCCAGGAAGCCATCTCTGCGTCCATGGCTATCTGCCACTGAGAGGAGTACGAACCCGTGATCACGTCTGCGTAAGTGCGCGGGGTCGGGATGTCCAGTGCATCCGGGCAGCGCGGTTGCGGGCTGCAGGGCAGGGCGGCGCGCGGGCCTACGGGCAGGGCGACGCGCGGGTCTAAGGGCAGGGCGATGCGCGGGCCTAAGGGCAGGGCAGCGCGGTTGCGGGCTGCAGGTCAGGGCTGCGGGCATGCCTAAGGGCAGGGCAGTGCGGCGCGCGGGCTGCAGGGTAGGGCGGCGTGCGAGCGCTGGGCAAGGGGCAGAAAAAAAAATACGGGCAGGGTAGGGCGGAACGTTCGGTGGGCCCTAGGAACGAGCCTGCTCTGATACCATGTTAGAATACGTGAACAGGAAATGAATGTATTGAGCAGGATGCAAGATACAAGTACCAACCCTAAATGGTTTGTACCCTATATGGGCTACCAACCCTGCTAGCTAGTGTATTTTGACAGAGTACACCAGGGGCTAGTGTGGGAGGCCTACAACAGGAGATGGAGGGGATCATGTTTGACTGTAAGGCTGCTTGCTTGTTCGTTTCTTTGGTTGTATGCCGGGTTGTGTGGATTGTGCCTAGCTCCAGGTTGCCTACCGGTAGCCTTTCTCGGCTGCTTGGTGTCACCACAGGAGGCTAGTGGTGCAAATTCAGGGATTTCCTGCAGGCTTGTTGGAAAAATGCACTGGTGTTTGTGGCACCTCATAACCCTGGAAAAATGCACTGGACCGCATCACACACTAGCTACGGTAGCAGCTATGTAGTGCCACAAACACAATATTGGCAGCCGAAAGTGAACGGTTTCTACTGTTAAGTTAAAGAACTAATGGGATAGAAATGCCTGGTCAATTCATAATCATCCTACTCCTATACTGTATAACAATGACTACACAATTAGAGCATACTATACGAGCCAGCAGCAGCCATCCATGCCTTGTCAGTCATCCATCACCAAATCCTAACTCTGCTTCGGAGCAGCCAGCCCAACAAGCCCTACAACAAACATCTCCTCAATCGAATCATAGGCAGCGATCCATGCTGCTTTCACGTCACCACTCCACATGTCTCCCATGGCGTCAGCCATAGTAAGCACAAAAGCATCCCTCAATTTCTGAGAACACGAACAAAAAGATGGAAGTACTATTAGAGATCGGAAGTTTGGCAACAGCAACACACAGAACGTGATGTGCAGTACTGCAGGAACCTGATTACAAATATAAAGACTATTGGGTACATTACATACCGCAGCGTGCTTGAGCTTGACTCCGTATCCAATGTGCCTCTCGCCCAGAGATGCAAGGCTCTTCTTGTACAACTCCACCTGTTTCTCGTTGTCCAGATTCGTGGACAACGAAACCAAATCAAAACCGAGGAGGAGGAAGCAGGGAGGATCTGCACGTCAGATCGGAGCCGTGGAGGCGGCCTGCAACCAGCAATCCGTGGAATCTGGCAGAAGGCCGGCGCGGAGTGGACGAAAGGCGTCGCGATGACGACGTGGAGATGGATGCCGCGAGCGAGCGGGGTGACGAGGAAGACGGGGAAGAGCCCCAGCTTACTCGAGGTATCGGAAGGCACGGCGTCGCCGAGGACGATGGATCCCCCACTGCGCGGGGCGAAGGAAGGCGCGACGTCGCCAACGACGAGGAATTCCCCACTGCGCGGGGCGGAGGAAGGCGCGACGTCGCCGACGACGAGGAATTCCCCACTGCGCGGGGCGGAGGAAGGCGCGACGTCGCCGACGACGAGGAATTCCCCACTGCGCGGGGCGGAGGAAGGCGCGACGTCGCCGACGACGAGGAATCCCCCACTGCGCGGGGCGGCGGAAGGCGCGACGTCGCCGACGACGAGGAATCCCCCACTGCGCGGGGCGGAGGAAGGCGCGACGTCGCCGACGACGAGGAATCCCCCACTGCGCGGGGTGGCGGAAGTCGCGACGTCGCCGACGACAGAGGACTCCCCACTGCGCGGGGCGGTGCAGGGAGAGGCGACGTCGACGGAAAAGGGAAGGCAAGGGTACGAGGAAAGGGATGAAGTAGAGCGGGTCCGACGCGGGAAGGCGCGGGAGGATGATGAAGAAAACAAGAATGGCGAGCGCTCACCTACGGGAAGGCGCGAAGGGACACTGCGAGGGAGCGTTAGAGGAGTGGAGCGCCAATCGGGGGTGCGCCGAGAAGGCGAAGGAGACCGAGGGGCGCCGGCAGGTGTCTTCCGCTCGCCTGAACCAAGGCCAGAATATGATCGCAGACGGCGCATGGCGATGGGCGAAGGTCGGCAGACGGATCGGGAGAATCGAGAAGAAAAGCCGGACTACGTGGGGCGGCGCCAGCGAAGCCCGCCTGAGTGGGAGCGGAGGCGCGATGGAGAAGGGCGAGACAGGGACCGGGGAAGGCGATCGCCGGACGGTTCCAGAGCGGAAGGAGGAGGCCGGCAGCGAGGGGAGCAAGAGCAGCATCACCAGGAGCGTTCACCTGCGGGAAGAGAGAGGCGGCAGGATGAACAGGAGAGGCGCTGGGCAGGCCGTGAGGACAACCTGAGGAGGGGTCCGAGTCCGATTGTAACCAGGAGGCCACGGCAACACGGAGAAGGATCAAGTGGGGCGAGAGCGGCAGGTGAAGGGTTAGAGCGAGTGCTGTATGGGACTAGCACGGGAAGCAGAGGGGAAAAGGGGAAGCAGCGAGGGGCTGCTCTGTCAGATCGGGGAGGCTCTGGAAGCTGGGACATGTGGAGGTGGGGTGCAACGGCACAGCCACGAGTGGAGGTGCCGGTGCGCTTCACGGGGAACGAAGGCACGGGCCCAAGCCTTAAGAACTACTTGATGCAGATAAGCAACGTCAAGTACCGATGTGTTCGGAGTGGGATGGACCCAATCGACTTTTTCTTAAGCCTGCCAAACACGCTGGGGGGGGAAGAAGAAACTCTGTATCGCATGAAGATGGGTGAATGGCTCAGAAGGGAAGATGAGGATGAGGAGGACCCGACGGTGCTGTTCCTGGAGCGGCTAAGGAAGCAGTTCCCTGGGCATACGGCAGCGCGCATCCGGGAGTTTCAGGAATTTAGGCGGATGGATGAGGAGTCCCTGCTGACATATTACGGCCGGTTAATGAACCTGGCGGAAGACGTGGTGTGCACGGACAGCGGCATGATCATTAGCAAGTTTCTGAATGGGTTAGACAAGGGACTGGCAGGAGGGCTGAGAATGAGAGTCTATGAGCTAGGAGCGGATGCCACACCGGAAGAAGTGTTCGAGCTAGCGGAGAGGGTGGAACTGGCGCAGAGGAAGTACGAGGTGTACCTGCCAAGGACGACGGAGAGGAAGAATCCTGCTTGGGCAGCAGCGATGGTACCGGAGAGAGGAGGAAGGGAGGAAGGACGTCAAGATAGAGGAGCCGAGACACGCACCTTCCATCGCTGCAAGCAGCCGCGACACTTAATGAGGAACTGCAGGAACCGCCGCAAAGAGTGCCCAGACGCACCGACCTGCGAGGTATGTGGGAAGCGGGGGCATAAAGGCAAGGATTGCTACCAGCGCACGGGAGGACCTCGTAGGACGCCGGAGGAGATAGAAGGCCAGATAGGTAAGCTACAGGCGCAGCTGCAGGCGTTGGGTGGGAAGAAAGAGAAAGAAGCGGGGTTGTACGCGAGGGAAGATGATGACGAGGCATAAGTGATAGAGGAGCCAGACCCAGAGTATCAGTTCATGGTGCTGCACAGCAGAGACGACCTGGGCCTGCGTAGTGGGGGCAGGGACGGACGCAAGGAACAGATTGTGAAAGAGAGGAGTCGGCCAGCGTGCAAGAAGGAAGAGCAGCAGAACAGAGCAGAGGAGCCCAGCCGCCACCCAAAGGACAGGCTGGCAAGCCAGGCTATGGTGCTAGTGGTAGAGGCAGGAGCAGTGATGGTGGGAGGAGAGAAAGCCAAGACAACAATACTGGATACGGGAGCACAGAGCGTTATGCTAGGAAAACGAATGGCGCAAAAGTTTGGACTGACAGGACCAGGACAGCACGTGAAGAAGGGGATGCTGGTAATGACAGCAGAAGGAGGCGAACCTATGTGGCTGCCTTGCACAAAAACGCCCGTGAAAGTAGTACTACTGCCGGGACAGGAAGGGCAAACTTGCCTCCAGGTACAGTGTGGCATATCGGAGTCGGAAGACTTCGACGTGCTGCTCGGGACGAACCTGATATGGGGCGTGGGCATGATCATTTGCACGTGGAAGGAGCGGGTGCACTTTCGCAAGCAGTACTGGCTGAAGAATAGTGAGTTGAGGGAGTTACCAGTGCAGTTCGTGAGACAGGAACCCAAGAGGGCGTACACGGCAGGCGCGTCAGTGAGGAAGGATGCAGGAAGGGCGGGTTTGATCGGCAAGGCGGCGGTGGCGGGCGGATGGCAGGAACCGATACGGCTAGTAGAACTATTCAGAGGCATCGGAGCAGGCCTGGCAGCAGTGGTGAAGGCCGGGATAGCAGTAAAGGACTGGGTCTATGTAGAGAGAAACGAGAAGGCGAGAAAAATGGCAGAGCATCACGCTAGAATGCTGCAGAAGGAGAATCCGGAGCTGCTGGAAGAGACGCTGATAGAGAGAGCAATGCGAAGGGCGGAGAGAGATGTGAGAGAGATTACACCAGAAGTAGTCCGGAACTGGGGGCAGGTGGACCTGTCAGTAGCGGGATGGGAGTGTCAAGGGGTGTCAAGAGCCGGAAAGGGAAGGGGGATGGAGGATCCCCGGGGGGCGCTGCTACTGGATCTACTGCACATTATGGAGTGGATTAAGGAGAGGCAGGAGAGGTTGGTGTACCTTCTGGAGCACTTGGACTTGGAGGGAGACTGCAGGGGCCGGTGAGGAAGGTGAGGGACCTGGTAAGGAAGAGATTGGGAAAAGGGGTCAGGTTTGACGCCGCGAGGCTGGGGGCATGCGCACACAGGGTAAGGAGGTACTGGCAGAACGTGGTGCCAGATGAGCAGCTGCAGGAAGAATTAGACGGGATAAGGAGGGACTGGAACCGGAAGGTGAAGGATATTCTGGAGCCAGGCAGGACGGCAGCGCCTGTGAAGAAAGGGAGACATGAGACACAGTGTCCCTGTAACAAGGTGGGGGCAGAGCGCCGAGCTTGGCCTACACTGGTGGCATTCGAAAGGGCAGCGGGGTTCAGGATGGAAGAAGGGGAGCCAGGGGAGGGGATGGTGTATGACAATAAGAAGCAGCAGTGGGAAGAGCCAACGGCACTAGAACGGGAGCTGGCGATGGGGTATGAGGAGAACGCGACGAGGCCGAGCGGGGTGACACAGCAAGAGAGGCGGCGAGCACTGGGCCAGGCGATGGATGGACAGGTGATGAGGTGGTTCGTCCGAAGGATGTGGAGGGGAATATTGCTGGAGACAGAGCCAGTAGGAGAAGAGCAAGTGCAAGAGGTGCAGAGGTTGGGGGCATGGGCCAGCATACCCGTGAAGGAAGAAGCAGAGTGGGCTATAGGAGACGCCATGGGAAGGGAAGAGAAGGAGGCCCTGCAGGCGGTGCTGGCCAGGTTCAGGCACGCCTTTGCCTTTACACTGCAGGAGCTGGGGAAGTGCACGGTGAAAGAAATGGAATTGAAATTGACAACGGAGGAGCCGGTGTTCCAGAGGAAAAGGCGGATGGCCCCGGGGGATGAGGACGTCTGTGAGGAAAAGTGCAAGGAACTACTAGAGGCAGGACTGATCCAAAGGTCGGAGTTGGAGTACGCCACGCCAACAGTGATAGCGGCAAGGAAGGACCTCGCGGGGGAGGTGCTGAGCAGGCGCATGTGTGGAGATTACCGCGCGTTGAACAAGCTGACCGTGCCGGATAGGTACCCTATGCCGACCGCGGAGGAAATCTTTGACAAGCTGGGGGAGGGGGAGATATTTAGCACGTTAGATCTTCGGCAGGGCTTCAATCAAATCAGGATCAAGCGGGAGGATGTGCGTAAGACGGCGTTTCACGGGGCGGATGGTTTGTATGAGTGGCTGTTCATGCCGTTTGGACTGCGCAATGCGTCAGCCATATTCTAGCGTGTGATGGACAGTGTGCTGCGGGGGTTGGAGTGCGCGGCGTGTTACATAGATGATGTGGTCATCTTTAGCAAAACGGAGCAGGAGCATGTGAGAGATGTGGAGCGCACCTTGGAGGCATTGGCAAGGGCAGGATTGACTCGCCACCCGAAGAAGTGTCGGTGGGGAGAGGCGACAGTGCAGTACCTGGGGTATGAGGTGAGGGGAGGCCAGATGGGGATCCACAAGGCGAAAGTAGCGGTGCTGGACCGCCTGCAGCAGCCCAAGGACAGGAGCGGACTGTGGGCAGTGCTGGGGTTTCTCAGTTATTACCGACGCTTTGTGCCCAATTTCAGCAAGCGAGCAGCAGCACTAAACAGCCTATTGAAAGAGGACAAGAAGTGGGAGTGGGGAGCAGAGCAGGAAGGGGCACTGAGGGACTTAATGGAAGCGGTACAGACAGCGACAGTACTGCACCTACCGCAGGCAGCCAAGCCCTTTGCCCTGTATACCGACTGGAGCAGTCAGGGCATGGGGGCAATCTTGTGCCAGGAACTGGACGGGGAGGAGAGGGTAGTGGCATATGCAAGCAGGAGCTGCAATCCAGCGGAAGCGAAGTACAGCTCCTACCATGGGGAGGGGCTGGCGGCCGTGTGGGCCGTGAAACACTTCCGGGTGTATCTGCAGGGCAGGGAATTCACCCTAATCACCGACCATCAGCCGCTGCAGTGGTTGATGACGCACCAGGGGCTGACAGGGAGGAACGCGCGCAGGGCCGTCACGCTGCAGGAGTATGACTTCAAAATACGACACAGGCCGGGTAAGACTCTGCAGCACGTAGACGGGCTCTCGAGGAACCCGCCAGCAGCAGAGCCAGTGCACGCGTTGATGATGCTGGCCAAGCAGGGGGAGGTAGCTGCAGCAGGGAAGAAAAGGGGGCCAGAGGACATATGGGAGGATCCAGTGGCGCTACGGTGGATCAAAGGGGAAACCGATGCAGACGAGCAAGTGTCAGATAAGGTCAGGGCAAGAGGACACCACTACCGATGGTACTAGGGACAGCTACAGCTGCAATCAGTGGACTGGAAGCTGGTACCTGCACCGCAAGAGAGAGAGGGAGTGATTGAGGAGGTGCACAGGAAGTTAGGGCACTTCGGCCACGAGCGCACAACCCAACTGCTGAAAACCGGCTGGTGGTGGGAGGGAATGGGGAAACAGGTTAAGGAGTGGGTCAGCGGCTGTGAAGGCTGTCAGAGGAGTAAGGTCAGCTTGGCACAGGCGAAGCAGGAGCTGCAGTCACTGCCGATAAGAGGACTGGGTTTTAGATGGTCTCTGGACTTAGCAGGGGAGTTGCCGCTGAGCAGGGGAGGCAAGCGGTACATCTTGCTCATGGTAGAGCATGTGAGCAAATGGCTGGAGGTGTGCGCGATACCCAGTAAAGACTCCAGGCACGTGGCAAAAGCTTTCAAGGGGCAGGTCTTGTGCAGGTTTGGTGCACCAGGGGAAGTACTCACTGATCAGGGGA